AAGTCGTTTGTCTACAGGAATAGCTGTTCCTTTCGAGTAAGAATAATTTTCCTTTAGTTAATATGAGCAAACTTCTCTTTGATTTTCAAAAATGTTCCACGAATGCTTTAATTATATTAAAAAAAGTTATATTATTTTTAAAAATACAACAATTCCACAATTTCAATATAGAAACAACAAAAGGATACGCTGCAATAACTACATATATCTGACAAATAGATCAAAATTCGAACATTTTATACTCCAAATGACTTTAAGCAACCAAATTTAAACCTTTACTTGTTGGGGGAATGCAGAAAAGTTGGTTATTTTTGATCCAAAATTATATCCATTTATCATATTTCTATAACAGACCGTTTACTAATATTCAGTTTTGCTTGGAAAAGCTTCTTATTCAATGCTGTAAGATCCAACTTTTTTTTCAACTAACGCCTTTGAGCTTTGGCAAGTTTGACAAGTTCTGTAGTTAATTTTAAACTTGCAGAAAATTGGAAAGTATCAGAGACTAGCCTTCAGTGAGTGCCTTGTAGAGCAATTTACGTAATGAGTTCACCAACCCGGCAAATCGTCTATGTGCTCGTTCAGAGCGTTCGCAGGAAAATATTGCTGACTGTAGCTCAAAGCTCAACATCAACTCGATATCACTTGCGCAGAATTTTTTTAAAGATCTCGGTATGGACCTCGGCTTATAAAGTTCAATTGGGTCGAGAACAGAAGCCTCCTGGTCAGCGGATGCAGAAAATGAGCATATCTTCCAAAAAATCATCTTTTCCGATAAAGTCCCTTTTCACCTCGGCGGCCTCTTTAACTGGCAAAACTGTCGAATTTGGAATTAAGAGAACCCACACGTTACCATGATCGATCCAATGCGTCGATCATGAATGACTGTTTGAAGCGGCATATAGATTGATGGCATTATTGGTTTGTTTTTCTTGGAAAACAACAAGGAAAGTGCTGCCGTTCCCACCAATACTAATCGTTACGGTGCCATGCTACGGTGCTGGATGTCAAATAGCCACCGTTACCAGTTTTCGAAAATCGCATAATTCTCCAACATGTCGATGTTAACTGACCGACTACCAGTTTTTTAGAAATCTGTTAAGAATAAGTTATACGCAAAACACACAAAGACGATTTATGACTTGAGCTATGACACTGAAGTCGTCACTGTAGCCATGTATGACGACACAATCGAAAATGTATGGAAAAATATGATTGGCACTTAGCACCGCCATCACGAACCGGAATTTTGAAGAATTTAAATAAAGGCAAAATCATTGACGCCAACTTTCGCTTGAGAAAATATTTCTGAAACTCCCAAATTTTCATAAAATATACACGTGTATGTAGGAAAATTAAAATATCATAAATAAATCTCTCGCTTTTAAATAAACAATGGAACTACTTAATCCACCAACGCAAACTAATTAAGCATTAAAAGCATTTCTCATCTCGACATTCTCACCAAACACATTCATCTTAGCTCTCAATATGCAAATCGTTTTTGTGCCCAAATTTTCCATTGCCATTGTAACAACAATTAAATAGCCCATTAAGGCCCGTACCTTCGCGTGCTCCCCGAAGTGCAGACCATGCCGCCAAATCCACACAATCTTATCAATATTCTTACTCATTTAGGTAATTGCCTACAAAAGTAAATCACATTTAACTCACTCTCGCATAAGCCACGAGTTGTGATTGAGCCTGTCCCAGGGGATTATTAATTACTCTGCTAAACCGTACATACAAAAGAGGCAGCAGTAGTACGAAAGCTTTACAGGACTCCAACAGCCGTATCGATATTAATGTGGTTGTTGTTTTTATTGTTACAATTACATCGTGATATACGTGAACAAGGCAAAAACTTAGAAGCAACAAAACGTTTTGTATTGAATTTGAAAAATTTCGTTAAAGAATTGAATTGAGCAGAGTTTGTGTTTTACGGTAATTTGAAATTTTTTTATTTGTTTTCGTTGCTGATTTTCCAATTATTTTTGAATTTATTTTATTCGTGTGTATATCTGTACGTTTGTGTGTAGTATATGTGAGCGCGCGTTTTTTTGTTGGCGGTATTGTAATTGGCTGTTATTGGCTTTGCATTTGTTGTTATTGTTACTGTTTTTGCGCATTTCATTTACATAACGGAAAATATTTCAAACATTTAGTTAATTTGAATTCGAAATGCATGTGGAATACGAAATCGTGTTGTTAACTCACAATATATACATATTTACAGACGGAATCGTACAAAATAAACAAAAAATTTGTTTGGCCTGCAACGCAATCATGCAAATTATGCGAGAAATCAAAAATCATATTATTTGTGCAATTACAACGTTATTTGAGGGATCTTTAAATGTGAAATAATGACTGTGAGCTTACTTGTGTGAAGAGAAATTTTTAAAAATTTTTGACATGCCATCGAAATTTTTGTGAAAAGTTAAAAAAAAATGATTAACATTGAAAGGTTTTAAAATATATTAGGACATGCTTACAAATATTATTCGTAACCAAGTTTTACATCATTCAAACAAACAAATAGTTTGGCGAATTAATTTAGTCTGCTTTTGTTGGAAAAATTATATTTTCTACTTCATATTAAAATGTAAACTTTAATGCAACCGCTGAAAGGTAATATTGTTAACTAAATACATATGTAACAACTAACCCTTATATACCCCAAAATTTAAACTCTTGTTAGTTACCGTGCCCGCTGTATGTGTGTTAAAAGAATGGAATATCTGTACGATTGAGATGACTGAGTAATGAAGGAGATCCGATAATATAACGTATTGCAAAATAATCACCAAATTAATGTAAAAATTTACACAAAAACACCAATTACATAAACACATATATACACAAGCTCACGCTTTGGAAGATCACGGAATTCATTAGCGCGAAACGAATTTAATAAAGTATTTTTTTAATTTTATGTGAAGCTATTTAATTTTTTTTAATTAATTTATTATTCTTACTAATTTAATCTATGCTTGCTATGTATTTGTTTTATCTCAATTTTTTATTTTATTTACTTGATTTTATTTTATTTCATTCCATTTTATTTTATATTATTTTATTTATTTATTATTTTATTTCATTTAACTTTATTTTCATTAACTATTTTAATTTATTTTGTTTTATTTTATTTAATTTTCTTTTATGTTAAAATGTTTTATTTTATTTTATTTTTTTCATCTTACTTTATTTTATTTTATTTACTTTATTTTATTATATTTTAATTTATTTTGTTTTATGCTGTTACATTTTATTTTTATTTTATTTTACTTTATGTTATTTTATTTTAATTTATTTTATTTTATATTATTTTATTTTATTTTATTTTATTTTATTTTATTTTATTTTATTTCATTTTATTTCTTTTATTTTATTCTATTTTTTCCAGTTTACTTTGTTTTCCTTATTTTTTATCGAATTTAATTTAACTTAATTTTATTTCATTTTCAAATATTTTAAAAAAGTTTATCTTATTTTGCTTTATTTTACTTCAAATTATTTATTTAATTTTACATTTTTTAATTTAATTTAATTTAACTTTATATGGTTTCAATAAATATTATTTTATTTTATTTTACTTCATTTAAATTCAATTTAATTTATTTTATTCGACGTAATTTTTTACATTTGATTTGATTTTGTTTTATGTTCTTTCATTTAATTGTACCATAATTTATTTGCTATTATTTATTTTTTTTTTTTTAATTTTCACTTTTTTTTATTTTAAGTCATTTTATTTCTCTTAATTTATTTTATTCGCTATTCTTCTATTTTACTTTATGCTGTTATATTCTAGCTTATTTAATTTTATTTTATTTTATGTTATTTTTATTTAATTTATTTCATTTAATTTCAGTTTTTTTTTTATCTAATTCTAATTTTATTTAATTTATTGCATATTATTTAGCTTCATTTTATTTTATATTATTTTATTTTATTTTTTTTAGTTTAATTTTATATTTTTTTAATATTTATTTTTTATTTTGTTGCCTTAATTTAATTCAATTTAATTTTATTTCATGCTGTATTCTTTATTTTATTTTACCTAATTTTTTTACTTAAGTTTATTTTATTTAAATTTAATTTAGTTTATTTTATTCGACGTAGTTTTTTATTTCTTTTTTATTTAATTTAATTTTATTTTATTCATTATACTTTGATTATTAAATTATTTTATTTTATTCAATTTTTTTATTATATTTTTATTTTATTTTCTTATTTTGTTATATTTTTTAACTTGATTAATTGAACTTAATTCTATTTCATTTTAAGTTGGTTTCAATTATTTTACATTATTTTATTTTACTTTATTTTATTTATTTTATTTCATTTCATTTCACTTTATTTTGTTAATTTAATTTATGTTATTTTATTTTATTATTTTTTAATTTTATTCTAGTTTTTATTTTTTTTATTTTAATTAACATCATTTTATTTTATTTCTCAAATTATACTTTAATTTTCTTATTTAATTTTTTTTATTTTATGTTTTTTAAATTTTTTTATTTCATTTTTTTGTTTATTTTATTTAATTTTAATTTATTATTTGTTTAGTTTTATTTAATCTTTGTTAGGTATAATTAATTTTTTTTATTCAATTTAAATGTAGTTTATTATATTTTTATTTTTTTTATACTCTGTCATTTTTCCAGTTAAAGGAGTCAAAAATATATATAAAGTTCATATGTTCGTCTTCTCGTCAATTTCTTAATGATATATGTAAAGTATGCAGTTATTTTTGTATGATAGGTTGTTATCATTAGTGGCACATATGTAAGTATGTTAGTAAGAAGGCTTTGCTTGTTGTTAGTTTGAATGAATGAACGAATAAATGCATGACTGAAGGGATGAATGATTTTGTAAGTATGTTTTGTAGTATGTTCAAATGCACCTACCATTCCCGTCAAATTGTTTAAAGTACGTATATTACGTTTTCTACGCTTACGCAATTCTAAGTAACGTAAACGTTTACGGGTTCGTACCTTAGGTGGGCTCACTTCACGGGTTGATATGCCCATCTTTTCGTGGTGCCGCAGCTGCACCGGATAAATGATTTGATAATAATGACCGCCGATACGGCGTACTAATTCCTGATTTTGACGATACTCCTTAAGGAGGCGTTCCACTTCACCTGTAATTAGAGAGAGCAAGAGAAAGAGAGAGAAAATTAGTCATGAATTATAAGACTAAAGGCTTGAGCTTAAACAAAAAGCTTAATTAAGTATCTAAAACATCTTTTGTTATTAAATTTTTTTTTGGTTTTCGTATATCCAATATTCTGTTGAGTTTTGACTTCAACTGCTAACCGAAAGCTTGTTGTTTGTGTGTGTTCATATAACAAAGTGAACTTTCAGAGCTTTTTATGAACATTTCCTAGAGCTTTCATGATGCAAAAGTTTTTCTGCGAAATCAAACATTTAGTACAAATATTTTTGTATACTTTTTTCCACTAAATCTACTTTAACTAATATACCCACATTTTGCATAAATTCATATCTGGTTGTTTGCAGAAACTACAACCAAGTCTTAATTAATAGAAAATAATTTCGTTCATAATTTAAACAAACAATGCAATATTTTACGTTGGAAATTCTAAGTTTTATCGAATTTTAGTCTATTTTATTCATTTATTTCTTCAACCATTTCCAAGTGGCAAAACGGGTTGGGCGTTGGCATGACAAACAAATGGCAACAAAAGTGAGCGAAACTTTTAATTTTCGGAAATCAGTAAAAAGGGAGATAGAAAACGCTTGTGGGCAGGTTACTTTGTATGAAAGTGTGTGTTATGTAGAAATAGAACATGTAAAAGTGAAAACTTTACAATTTAGTTTCCGCTCTAAATTTTCAATTAAATTTACCTACGGAAAATTTCCGTTGCTAATGGCAACACCACAACCAAAGGGGATGAGAATAAAAAGCTAACCTCTGACGTATCTACAAAGAGTTCTTAGTAGCGCCAAAAACAAACAGAAATAAGTTGAAATAATTCAGTTGAACAAGCACACATTCACACGAACATACCAATGAAGAGAGGCAGAATGTGGGAAACTTTTAATTATTATAAATAAACTTAAAATTATACTAAGCGTATTTAAATCTACAGTGTGTTTTCGGCGCATTTGCAACTATAAAAATCCCACTAAGCAACAACTTAACTGAACGAGGACTTGTTGTCCCTAACAGCTACTCAAACTTGTGCCACAAGTGTCAATCGCAAGGTGAATTTTTCTTTCAATAATTGAGAGCGCACAACAACAAACTAAGAAGAAGACAAAAAAGTTCCATGCAACCCAAAACGGAAATTAAATTTACATTGCAGCAGCACACGAAAGCGTACGGAAGCTAAAGGGTCACAAAGGGTGTCAAGAAAATGCTCTATTTGCTTATACACAAACACATAAACGAGTAGAAAGGAAATTTGCCAATGACAGCGCAGAACTTAGTAGTATTTAACAGAATTTTAGTTCAGACATTGTCGTAAATTAGATATTTGCCTTCCGCTCGGTGTGTGTGGTTGGCAAGGTGAGTTGCTAAGTAAAGCGGGCTCGATTGTAGCATTTCTGTTAGTGAGTGATAGTGAAAGCTTCTGAAAGTTAGAGAAAGCTTTTGAAATTTAGTGAAAGTTTTACCAAGAAATACACTTGCTTTATAGATGAAAAATAAATATTAGAATAATTAGAATTATTTACGAGGCGAGAAGAAATCGATGCGGTATTTGAATGTTTGCAGTAATTTGAAGGTAACAGAGCGGTTAGGTGTTGCTATATTATATTAATTTACTCAATAAAGCTTAGAGGAAACTATGTATACTAAAAATATGCCCGAAAGATGTGGTAAACGAAAGCTTTTCCTCTAAAAATTCATTTGCATTGATAATTTACGATTGCCCAATATGAACTAAATTTGCATCAAAAAATTAACCGTCCGGAAACTTTTTGATAGAATTCTTATCATATGTGAGAAATATGATTCTTAAGCTAAGAAATATCCAAATACAGAGTCCTATTGTTATGACCAAGTAACGACGAAAGGTAGTGTGTCAACGGAAACTCATTCCTTTCATTGAGACTCAAAGCTTCGAGCGTTTTGTAACATAAACGATTTAACAAGACGCTCAAGGTTGGATTTAGCCTCAAAACTATCCTTCAGTACTCCACTTGCTTAGAAAATTTAAACGAGATTTTCCATGCATGTAAGTGTTTCGTCTGAGCTATATTCAAACCGAATGATACCGCACTCCATTCAGAGCCTTCCAGGACGTCGTCGAAAAAGGACTAGTCTGAATATCAGCTTAAGAAGTTGCCTTGCAAAAGTTATATGAAACTCATTGATTGACCAATTTTTGGCGTAGACAACAAGCTTTCTTTCATAAACTGGATAGCAAATCCATTTATTTTCCCGAAGTAGCCGAATACGCAACTTTGGCGTAGACAACAAGCTTTCTTTCATAAACTCCTTTGCTATCCATTTATTTTCCCGAAGTAGCCGAATACGCAGCAGATGACCTTGGGAATGCCATAGGTTATTTTTGAAATGAGTTGAAAACAAAGATTTTTATCTGGAAATATTGACTAACTTCCGCAACAAGTTTAGCGATCAATATAAAACTTCTTCTTCTTCTTTATTGGCAATAGCACCGCTTACGCGATTATTGCCGAATCAATATTAGCGTGCCATTATTCTCTTCTTTTCGCTGTCTGGCTTTACTTGGAAATACCAAGTGAAGTTATCTGCACCGAATACTCTCCAAGCTGGAGTGCTTTCATACATTTGGAGGACACGACCTAGCCAGCGTAGCCGCTGTCTCTTCGTTCGCTAAACTACGTCAATATCATCATATAGCTCGTTCGCCTGCGGTATTCGCCTTTGCTAATGCGCAAAGGACCATCAATCGTTCGAAAAACTTTTCTCTCGGGTGTCCCTAGGGCCGCTTCATCGGATGTCAACATCGTCTGCGCTTCGGCGCCATATAGTGACCGGATATAATGAGCGACTTGTAGAGTTTGGTTTTCGTGCGTTGGGAGAGGACTTTACTTTTCATTTATCTATTCCGTTCAAAGTAGAACCTGTTGGCTAAAGTGATTCTGCGTTGGATTTAGAGGCTAAAATTATTATTGGTATTAATGCTGGTCCCAGGATAGACAGAATTATCAACGACTTCAAAGTTATAACTGCCAACAGTGATGTCGGAGCCAAGTCGCGAATGAATGACTGTTTGTTTGATGTAAGGAGATATTTCGTCTTGCCTTTGTTCAATACCAGATCCATTTGCTATGCTTCTTTATCGAGTCTAGAGAAAGCAAAACTCAAATAGCCCAACGAATATCAGGCACTTGAACAGGTAGACAATTTTTGTGTTCCAAATAACTTAATAAGAAACAATTCGGATCTTTACCAACGAATGGGACCAGTAGAGAATGAAAAGGAATCAACAAAATTTAATGACCGGTAAGATGAGTTAGTTTAAAGAGTGAGCTCGCCGCAGAATTTTACCAACTTTTTCCAATAGGATTTGATATTTTAATATTAAAAAAATAGGATTTTTCGAGATAAATCTTCGGATGTTTATATCAGTGTAAAAAGGAAAATATGTAATTACAGATCAAAAACAACTTCAGACAAATAGCCGCCACAAGATCATATATTTCTCACGAAGTCTTCCATTATAAAATTGCAAAATGGTTGCTGTATGCCCTCAATAGCTTCCCAAATTCTATCTTTGATGTATAGAATCGACTCGAAAAGAGTTAAATCGCAAGATCTCGATGGTCAACTGGACATAATAAAGACCGTAAACTGTTTCTTTAAAAGAACGATGGTTTCACTGCTTGTGCGGCAAGTAGCGCCGTTTTGTTGATAAACGTTAACCAGATCAATACCTTCCAATTGCGGCCATAAAAAATCTTTAATCGTCTCTCGATTGCGCAATCCATTCAGCTTCATTTTTGAAAAAGTAAAGTCCAATGAAACCGCAGCAAAAGTTACACGTCGAGCATTGAGGGGCCTTTCAACAACAAATATTGGATATTGCGAGCACCGGATGGGATGGTTTCGCTTTTTGAAGTAGTCACAGAGGTGAAGATCATCAGTCAAGATGATTTTTCGTTGATTTCCGTATCATTATCATGCATTTCTGGGGCCCATTCCGCAAAGGCACAACGAAGAATGGGCAAACCTGGATTTTCTCAGTTGTTCTTGAGCGGCATGCACGTGTTTTACTTTTCACAGCACCTACGTGTCCCAACAGTCCCATTTTTTCACCAATTTCGGTACTGCGGTCGGACAAGCTGCTTCACGATGACCCAAAAATGCTTTTGTTTTACGAACGATCTCTGCCAGGCTTTCACTATTTTTGTAACAATTTTTGATAATTATAAAGCGTTTATCGTTCAATTTGAATTACAGGCGTTTTTTTACTTGTCAAATGACAGCAAATGAATATTGATGAAATTGGGAAATGAATAAAAGTGACATGTCATCCCTTTATACTCGAATAACTGATGTTCGGCACCACTCGCACTTGGTCTTCCTCAGTTTTTAGCAGCCACACTCACATATACATATAAATATAAAACTGAAGCAATAATTCAAAAGTTCCCAATATTAAATATTGCAAAACCTCTTTTTGAACTCATAAAAAATGAGAAGAAAATAAAAAGGAAAAGACAAACAGAAACGAAAAAACGCGCTCTATATAACTTACCAAACAACACGCTTACAAATATTGACATAAATTCGCAATTTCGAATGACAGTGGCAATGTTGAGTTGAAAATTGCGAAAATCAACTTCCGTTTAAGCGGAAATCTATCAACAAAACTGACGAAGATGGCAAAAGAAGCTAGTACCTGCCTGCCTGCGTTGGAAGGTAAATAAAAAGTGCGAGCATCAAGATATGAAGACTTAAAGGGAAGGAAAGCGAGGTAAATTAAGGTGAGGGCAAGTGGAAGTGATTGAAGAAAAAGTTGAATTTATGTATTTATCTCTGTACACAACTTTAAAATAAATCAGTTTTTCGTTTCGTTTTCACATGCAAATGGGACTGTAAAGTAAAGAACGATAAATACTCAACCCAACCCAAGCCAACAGGCAGACAGATGAGACAGACGGTCAACAAAACGGGAGATGAGAT